TTCTTTACTCTCTAGTTGTAGTTCTTCCACTAAGCCAGTTTTCCCGTGGTTCTGGATGATAGATGTTCTGTATTTTAGTTTTAATTTTGATGTGGTTGTGGGAGGCAGCAAGTACAGGCGTTTACCTATGCCACCATCTTGGTTCTCCCAAAAGATTCTTATTTAAAGCATCGGAGAAGGGCCCATGAAGTCCAGACCATCATGTCAAAACTTATTTTTTATTTTATTTATAAAGAGGCAATCAGCACTCCACAAATTTAAGCTAACATCCAGGAGTTGCTTGCTTTCAGCCCAGTGGCCGCGCCTTGCTATTGGCTTTTTGTTGGCTATGATGTTAGGCTACGATTTACTAGCCCTCAGACAATGCCACTTGGCTTCCGGTCCTTGTTTCTCCTCCCTCCCTCCACCCTCCCTCTCTCCTTTTCTTCTTTCCTTCCTTCTGATATTTGAGAATCAGATAAATAGCTCCATACTTGGCATGGGAGACATCAGTGGAGAACAAGAAGTTAGGTATACTGCTCCCAGAGAATGTATATTTTAGTAAATAAAAAATCTCACAAAAATAAAATATTGTAGACTTTTGAGCTATCAAGGGGAGAAATAGAAATTATACTAAAGAACAACTGAAGATCTACTTTCTACTTTCAAGAGTTTGTGAATGAAGGTCTCACTGAAGAGGTGACTTTTCAGCTCAGACCTGAAGGATGAGAAGGGGCCAGCCATACGAAGAGATAGAAGACATTTAGAGCAGCAAGGACAGCAGGTGCAAAGGCCCTGAGGAAGAAATGTGTTTGACTGGATCAAAGAACTGAGAACGAAGGACACACAACTAGAGTGTAGGCAGCAAGATGCAAAGTGGCATGAATAAAGTTTGATAGGTTAGCATAGTCTTGATAATGCAAGACTTTGGAGACCATGGAAAAACTTTGGATTTTATTTAGGTACAATAGGAAACCTTTGCAAGGTTGTCCTCTCTTTACCAGACAGTTAAAAAAACCCAAAAACTTCAGCTTGAGTTTTGCCGATTGTTGCTGCTCTAGTCCCATGATGTCCTTATATCTTTTCTGTTCTGCTTCCCCTGGCCAGTAGCAACTGCTCTCTGCATCTCTTAATTAAAATTTCCAGAAGAAATAACCTGATTGACTCAGTTTACCTTTTATGTCCAGTCATAAACCCTGGACCACTGGCCACCCTATAAATGAATTGGCGAGCTTTAGATCAGGTGCAATCTGTGGTCCAATCAGCTGTGGCTGGGGGCAAGGTCGTACCTAATTCATGGTCATGTTCATTTACTAGGTGGGGTCTCAGGGCCTTTGCACATGCTTTTTTCTTCCTCCACACGCTCTTCTTTTTACTTAGACAACTCCAATTCTTTCTTTAGGTCTGCTTATAAGTGTCATGTCCACTTCTTTGACCCTTCATCAAAATTAGAGATCCCTGTTTATATTCCTTTGTACTCTGTATACAATATTTTCCCCTGATGACACAGATCCCAGTTTCAAATTATATTGATTTTTGATGTACTCATTTAGTGCTTGTTTCTCCCACTGCACTGAGAGTTCCATGAGGGCAGCGGTCATATCTGTTGAGACATGGCTATTTCTGGCACATAGTAAGCACTGGATAACAAGTGCTAGCTGAATGGATAAATGAATGAATGAGTGAGTGAATAAATGATGAATAAATGAATGCCAACAAGCAAGAGATTATGTGGCCTAGGAGTCACTGAAGACTTTATGAGAGCGCCGAATCCTAACCACTAGACCACCAGGGAGGTAAAGACTTTATGGAAGGGATCTTGGTCTTGAAGAATGGACGGCATTTGGAGAAAGCAAGGAAAAACATTTCAGGCAGAAATGTCAGGGAGTTGGGAATAAGTATGGTGTAGCAGGATACAGTGTGGGCACTGGCCTCATGGGAGCAGAGGTGTGTGTTTACATGATTTGGAAAGTAAGATGGTCTAGGTTGAAAAGGGACCAAGCAGGAAAAATGTAAATCTGAGAACACTATTAAAATATTATGGTAAGTACTGTTTTTGTGTCCATTTTACAGATGGGAAGTTGAGGCACAGGGAGTTCTTGTGGCTGGTAAATGCAGAGATGGCATTGAACTCTGGGCAGACACAGAGTTAGTGGGCTTGCACACTATGTCAAGCTGCCTCTCTGCTCCCGAAAGGCAGAGACATGACTTGGCAAAAGGTCAGTTCTGGGGCAGCAGGATGGAGAAGCATGCAAGGCAGACACAATGGCTCTGGTCTCTAGGAGACTGCTGGGCCAGAAACGAGTGGGCTGGGGAAGGGAGCTGCATGACATCTAGCTGTGGGTTTAGCAATCGCCCCTGCCTCAAAGGTTAGGATGAAATGAGAAAAGAAGAGGTGTCCATGGCAAACTGCTTGGCACACACATGGGGACCTGGTGAAGCGAATACTCTTCACAGGGGTTTGGAGGACCAGGATTGCCCAGGACCTAGAGATAATATTAATATCTCTAGAGGCCGGGTGCATGAAATTCATGCACTCAGTGGGGGCGGGTCCCTCAGCCCAGCCTGCGCCCTCTCGCAGTTTGGGAGCCCTCGGTGGATGTCTGACAGTCGGACATCCTTAGTGCTGCCTCAGAGGCAGGAGAGGCTCCTGCCACCTCCACTGTGCTCACAAAGCCGTGAGCCCGGCTTCCGGCTAAGTGCATGTGAGTGGTTGAGTGGCCTTAGCATATCATTAGCATATTACATTTTGATTGGTTGAATGGCTGACGGATGACCAGACACAGCATATTAGGCTTTTATTATATAAGATTTGATGCTACCAGCTGTGTCTAGATGAGGACTTTTTAAGCAAAGGCACTCTGAGGCCACATACCAAAGCCTTGCAAAGGCCAGGGTTAGCAGCTGTGCGTGTGAGGGTCCTTCCAGGGCTCAGGGCCTCCTTCTCTCCCCCTCCCACCCCTGTCTCTGGCCTTCACAGGAGGGCTTTGTACCTCAGTCTCCAGAGCAGGCACCTCCATACCCTAGCATCTTTCTCTCCATCTCTGACCAACTCCCCAGATGCCCTGTTTTTGACAAACTTCTAGGTCCCAGGGCTGCGAGTTGCCTTTCCCACCTCACAGTATTCATCAGCTACTCAATGCATCGCTAAGATCCTTCCCTCCTCACAGGGCCTCAGCCACTTTTCCCGAAGCGCGGGCGGGATGAGATCCCTGATGTGACGTGGCCGGCTGTTAGAGAGCAGCAGACCCCTAGAGAGAAAGTGACCCCCTTTCCAGGCCTCCTCTGATCCTGCTGGTCCAGCCAAGGGAAGCTCTTCTCTGGTGTGCGAATACCTTCAGCATCTTTCTAACACCTGGGTTATACCTTTTCACAAAGAGCAGAACAGCCTGCAGCTAGAATGTGGTGTGATTGTGGTGTTCCATTGTATTTACTTTCCCAGTTACTATTTCTACTGGCAATTACCTTTTGAGAGTAGTTCTATAAAGTTCAGTCTCAAGAACTGAAGTAGAAACTGAGCCAATTTCCAGAGAAACATTAGGTAAGTGATCGCCGATGTGGTGTGTGGACATGAAACTTCACGGGGTTTCACTCCATCAGTAACTGAAGTTCGGAGGAGATCAGTAAGTTAGAGCAGAGGCTCGGATGGAAACGCTGGCCCTGCTCGCTGGCTCCTAAGACGCGTGCTGTGCTGAGCCTCTCCTTCCTCACCTGCCGAAGCGGGTGATGATTCCCACTACACACGGTTGTTTTCAGGGTCAATGAGGTCACCTGATGGGTGTGAGTGCAGGTTGAACACAGGGACTCTGGAGTGTTAACATGGACTGTTGCTATCTGTGCCTGACAACCAAGTTCGCTGTGAGTGTGGACATATGACTAGTTTCAGGCCTCTCGTCCCACCGTGGCAGTGCAGTCTGGGCAGCCGGTCACCTCTCTGCCTCAGCTTCCTCTGGGTAAGCGGGGACACTGCCGGGAGGGCAAAACGGTGGGGTATGTGTGCAGTGCTGGGACACAGCCTGGCACAAGCCGCATCAGGGGAGTGTGAGCTCTGGGACCGTAGCTCCGCCCCTGAGAGACTGGGGCGGAGCAGGAAAGCTCTTGGAAGGGAGAGTGCTGGGGTGTGCCTCAAACTCCAGAAAGTCAGTGTCCGTGGAGGTGACTGCAAATATTCAAAATATTCAAAAGTCCTTCCACTTTCTCCCCCAGCACCCTCTGAGCCTGTGCAAGCACTCCCCTCCCTGCAATAGGGAACAGCCCCATTGGCCATGGACTGGGTGGTGCCCCACCCTAACTTCACCCCAAGGTGAGGATATTTGGAGGTGGGGCTTTGGGGAGGGTTAGGGTCAGATGAGGTCATGAGGGTGTGGCCCTGGTGATGGGATTAGTGGCTTTGTAAAAGGAGGAAGGGAGAGAAAGAGTTCGAACTCACCCTCTCTCTGCCATCTGAGAGGAGGTGGCTGGCTGCAAGCCAGGAAAAGAGCCCTCATCAAGAACCCAATTGGCTGTGCCTGCTCTTGACTGTGCAGCTCCAGAACTGTGAGAAGTAACTGCTGTTAGAGTCACACAGCCTATGGGGCCCTGTTACGGCGGCCTGAGCAGGCTAATGCCATGCTCATTCTCTCCCGAATCCATCCAAAAATTACATATGTACACACATGTATAATTTACAATGTGCTAGTCACTCTACCTGTGGTGTTTTTTTTAAGCCTCACAACCTCATGGAGAACAGCACTAAACCATGCTCCATTTTTAAGATGAGGAGACTGAGGCTTGAAGTGTAGGTGGACTTGCCCAAGATCCTGGAGCTACTGGGTCCGAGAGCCCGGCTTCAGACCACATGCTGGCCCCGGGATCCAGGTGGGGGACACCGACTCTGACATTGGTGGGAGCGCCTCGCTGCCTCAGGAGGCGAAGGGATCGTCCTGCCAGCCAGCGTGCAGCTGAGCAGAGCTGGGCCTCCAGCTCAGCGGGGCAGCCGGCTTCGCAGCGAGACCGGAAGCAACAACACCTTGGCGCGGTTGGTCACGCAGAACCTTTAATCACATGAGTGCTTATTACAGGAGCTGCTCCGGGGCCCCGCAGCTTTGATTTCTGGTCATGTTTCTCTAACACGGAAAGGTGAACGCCTCCCCAGGGCCACTGGGCGGTTGGTGTCCTGAGGATCTGTGTGAGGGGACAATCGGGACAGCTGTGCACACGCCTGGGTATGCGGGGATCCCCCCGAGCCACCACCTGTGACTCTGAGTGAAATCCTATTCCCAGGAGGGAGGGAGGCGGAGGTCCTTCCGGGGAAGAAGGAAGGAGGGAGACACTCGGCACAGATACACAGAGAGGACGCGTCGGGGTGGGCTTGGAGATCGGGGGGAGCAGAGGGTTAGGGCCTGGAAGGTAAGGGGCAGAGGGGGGGACAGGGCCGATCCATTTGGTTTCATTCTTTGTAAAAAATAATACCATCACCAGGACCATGCCATGCAACCTCAGCGACACCTGTGCACCCCTCCCCGCCCGCTGCCCGCGGAGGGCGAGAGGCAGTCAGACCGGCGTGGTGCGCCTGTTGGCCAGGTCGTTGTGCAGCGCCTCCTTGAAGTCTTTGGGCGTGGAGTTGTGGAACTGTAGAAAAGCGTGGTCCCGGTCGGAGTTGAGGAGGGTCCCCATGGTGATCTTGGAGGGGTCCCGGGAGAGGGTGAACATGGAGATGTCGGTGGAGGGGATGGCGTGGAAGCCTTTGCTGATGGGGGACAGGTCTCGGGACCTGGGCTCCGTGGAGCGGGAGCTGGACCGCCGCCGGAACCTGTACCTGTAGGGGGGCAGGCGAGCGAAAGTCGATTTCTTCAGGAGCTCCGAGTGGGACCTGGCGCGCAGCTGCTGGTGCTTCTCTATGTAGATGTGCACGGCGACCACCCCCACAATCTCGGCGATGATGAAGGAGAAGGCTCCGAAGTAGAAGGACCAGCCGTACGAGTAGCTCTTCTTGGAGTCGCGCTGCCCGGGGTCCCCAGCATTGGCCGATATGTAAACTATGATGCCAATGATGTTGCTTAACCCTAAGATAAGGGAAGAGAAACACACCTTTTATAAGCCTCAGTGATATAAAAAATAATAAAAAAATATAAGCCTCAGTGGTAACTTGCAGTCTTGGGATGTTTATAGAAGATGTGGAGGGAACGGGAGCGAGAGGAAAGGATTTGTGGCGGGAAGCCTGAGCCTGCTGAGCTCTCCCACGCATCTGTCCCTGGGACCTGAGCTCAGTCCTAGGCGGTGGCCTTCAGCTAAGAGTCAGCTGACTCCCACTCGGGATGCGCGACTGCCCCGAGAACCAGTTCACTCCACCGACACGCAATCTCCGGCAGGAAGCCATGAGGATGGTAAAATGAATGGGGTGCAGGTCCCTGCCCTTGAGATTGATATGTGAATGCAATTGGAGCAGAAGACAGGAGGGCTCTCCCAGAGACATGGACAAGTGGCTCAGGAGCCAAGGAGAGAGATGACGCAGCCACTGCCCTTTGAAGACAAGGTGACACTGAGCTTGGCCCTGAATTTGAGGAGGCGTGAGCCAGGCGATGAAAGGCCATGGCCCAGGGAGTGAGAGGAAGAATGACTTACAAGGCTCCAGCTTGAGTCATGGGGACACTGCTGGCATCTTGAGCTAAAATAAGAGGCAGCAGAGAGAACAGGTTTTGAAGAGGAGAGGAGAGGAGAGGAGAGGAGAGGAGAGGAGAGGAGGAGAGGAGAGGAGAGAGGAGAGGAGAGGAGAGGAAAGGAGAGGAAAGGAGAGGAGGGAGGGGAGGGAGAGGGGGAGGGAGGAGAGAGAGGGAGGGGAGGGGATGGAGGGAGGGAGAGAGGGAGGGGAGAGGAGAGGAGGGGAGAGAGCTGAGGGAGAGGGAGGGATAGGCGGAGAGAGGTGAGGGGAGGGAGCAGGGGGAGTGGGGGGACTGGAGGAGAGAGGAGAGGAGAGGGAGGAGATTGTGAGGGGGGAGGATCCTTCGAGTCGTCAGCGGGGGGGTCCGCTTTCTTAGCGCAGTTTGGCACACCGAGTTGGTTGCTGTCCAGTGGATGTGTGTGGAGCTGCAGCTGCAGTTTGGGGAACTAAGGAACCCGTGGGGAAGGGACAGTAGCCCCCCAAGTCTCCTCTAAGGGTAGGTAATGCTGTAGATTAGCTGCATCGGAATTGGGGCATGAAGTGTTGCCCCAGTAGGCAAGGTCCCCACTTCGTGTCCCCAGGCGCCAGCACGGTGGTGGCTGCCGAGGCGTCGGGGAGGAGCCAGCTCTCCAGGGAGTGGGAAGAAGGAGCCACAGAAGCCGGGCCTGGGCTGAGCGCCTGTCTGACCACCTCCCTCCCATTACTGCTCCAGAGGCCGAATGTCTCTCTTTGTTCCTTTGCTTCAAGGGCCTCGATACCAGCAATGACTCCGAGAGGTGGGTACAGCGCTGGCGTCTCCTGGCCTCCACATTTAGACCACCTGCAGCGCCCTCACTCTCCTTCCCGCACTCGCTGGTCAATCATCGTCAGGACCTCCTGACTCTCCCCTCCACTCCCGAGCACCCCGTACGCTTCCCGGGATCCCCAGGGTCTCCCCATGGTCCAGCACCCGAAAGGTGAAAAGCAGGGCCTGCTCTGTGCTGCCATTCTGCCCAGCTGGTGCCCGCGCACTAGGGGCCTTCACATTGGAGGGGTCTCCGGCCGCACTCCACCAGGCCTGGCCCCTGAGGGCAGGCGGGTCTGCTTCTACTGTCTCCTCCTGGCAGGACTCCAACAGGCATTGGCGGCAGGCACTGGTCCTGAGCTAGTCTCAGTGTGGGCTTGGCCCCGCTAGGCCAGGCCGGCCGCAGCACCCACAGGATGGAGGCCTCCCTCCCCCGGCCGCAGCACCCACAGGATGGAGGCCTCCCTCCCGGAGCGCCAGCTCCAGGCTCAGTAGGGCAGGCCCAGTCTTTCACATTAAAATGAACATAAGCATAACGAGGAGGGGGGAGCAGAAGTCCTAAGTGTCAAAGGGAGACAAAGACATTTCAGCTTCTCACTGTGGCCCGACTCCCATGCAGTGGGAACACATTGGAAGCTCCAAGTGGAAGTCTTGCCAGAAAAAACAAAGTTCAGAGAGAGGCTCCGAGGTCAGACCAGGTGAAAGGAGGCGGGAACAGGCGGTGTCGGGCACCTCCTGTGCACTGCCCCGGGGCCCCGGGCGGTCTGCGTGCACCACCCAGGCAGCCCCGGCAGCGGCCGCGTGGAAAAGTCCCCTCTCCCACAGATGACAAGACCGAGACAGAGAGCAGGAGGCACCTCCCGTGCCCACACGGCCAGGAAATGTGGGTGGGATGTGAGCCGAGGGCGGCCCCTCAGCCAAGGTGGATTGAGATCCCGTTGACCAAGCTCACGAAGCACCAGTGGTGAGTGGGCAGCCACTGCCTCCTGCTGCCCGCTGTCAGCTCCCTGCGGGCAGGGCCGAGACTAGTTCTGGTCACGGCTGTGGCCCCTCTCCCTGCCCGGAGCTGGGCCCGCAGCGCGCGTGCAGGGCATATTTGGGGGTTGAGTGAGTGAACTGAGACGGCATAAGAATGACATGGATCAAGGTATAGAATGGCAGCTGCTATGCATTGAGAAGTTGCTGTGTGCTGGGCAGTTCTAGGCACTTTATACCAACACATCTAATCCCCTCAGCAGCCTGAAGAGGTAGAGCCATTATTAGCCCCGTTTTTCAGATGAGGAACTGAGGCACAGAAAGGTTAAGAGACTTGTCCGAGGTCACACAGCTGCAAGTAGGAGAACCAAGCTTTGCAGCAGACAGCCTGGCTTCAGAGCCCAGCAGGCTCTTCAGCATTTTGCACATAGGAGGTGCCAGTAAAGGGTTGTTGATTGCTTGTCTGAGACCACAGGTCGGTAGAATAGCTGAGCGAACAAGAGCCTCAGAGAGGCCTGAGTCCTCGGGAACTTCCAATTTTTAGGTGGAAAACCTGAGGCTCTCCGAGTTCCCTGCGGGAGATCGTGGGGGAGGTGGCCTGGGATTCGACCCCAAGCTCCTGCTCCTTCTCCCGCAGGTTCCCAGCTCCCTGTCCCTGATCAGCCAGACAGCCCCCAGCTCCTCCGCTGCCGGTGACACGCCTCCCTAGGAATCCCCTGGGGCACACAGTCCGGATCTTCTCCTGCTCAGAACTCTCCCCTCAGCACAAGGCATCCCTTCTGTGGGCGCCCAGGGGCCTGGTCTGGCCGCCAGAGACTAGAACACGCCTCTAAGCAACGTGTGACCGGGCGCTCCTTTGGGGTGACCACAGCGGGGAGGTCCTGCAGGGGCCAGGACTGTACCTTTGCTGCTTTGCCAATACTAGACAGTAATACTGTGCTTTTTATGTTCAACCTACTTTCAACAACCCTGTGAAGTAGGAAGGATTATTATTTCCCATTTTACAGGCGAGGAAAGCAAGCTACAGGGAGTTGGTCGGGTTCCCAAGGCCTTGCAGGTGGAGGAGCAGAATGCAAATCCAGGAGGTAAGCTCCACCCCTTCATGCTCTTCCCCAGTGTCTCCTCCCGAGAACTATCCCGCCATTATTGGCAAAGCTCGAGGTCATCGCCCAAGAGGCAGGCCCCTCCCCAGCCCCTGCCTGCTCTTTGCTTTCCTAAAGCATTGCATCCGATGGCATGGGGGGCAGGGGGTGGTGAGGTGGGGAGCGGAGGGGAGGAGATGGGGGGAAACACAGAGGAGCCAGGGGAAGATGAGGAGAGTGGAGACAAGGGAGGAGAGAGCAGGCAGAGAGCAGCCCTCCCTGCAGCTTGTCTCTCATCTCCTGGGCCCCCTCTGCTCAGGGCTGCCGTGGACTAACTCTTCCCCTGGCAGCGTCTGGCGCTGCTGGCTTTGCCTTGTTCCCAGAGATGCTTTGAGCGATCTGCAGCTTTGAGCCCTTGAAGAGCGGTGAGCAATCGTTAACCAGCAGGCACATACCTCCAACGGCCAAGAGGCCCTGGTGAGCGGAAGTTGGACCCTTTCAAACACACGGACCCCGTCTCTCAGGCCGCACGCCATTCAGGCCCCTCACCCTCGTGCGAGCGTGGGCACCCCTCAGTCCTGCCCCCTGAGCTGACCTTGCACGTCGCCTCCCGTCTTTCCTCCACGCCACCCCTCGTGAGTGTTGGCATCTCTGTTCTGATTAAAGTCCTTGGGCCCTCCTTCCTAACATAACAAGCGAAGGTTTTCCTGCTTCTCCCTGGAGGGAGCCCTGGGCAGCACTGCCTTGCCCCTGGCCCTGGCCGGGTGTGGTGTCCGTGTGGTGTCTGTGCGGATCTCAGGGCGGGGCCGGGTGCTCACCTGCAGAGACGAAAAAGATGCCCGCGCTGAGGATGACGTTGTGCCTGCTGCGGTGGAACTCGCTGGCCGCCACGCAGAGTCCCCCGAAGAAGAGCAGTGTGACGCTGAGGATGGGGAAGACGCTGGAGGCCCTCACAGCCCCTGCGGGGAGAAGGAGAGACCCGCCTGTCCCAGCCGGCCCAGGGCCCCCGCCCCCCTCCCCGAGGCCCCCGGCACAGATGCCTGAGGGAAGCCAGTGTGTGCTGGGCAGAGCCTGCATCCGTGTGGCCCTGAGACCAGCGCCTCCCCAGGGCCCGGGGCTGGCTTCCTCTGCAGCAGACCCTGAAACTCAGTCATTTAGCTTTGGATTTGGGTAAGGAAGTCTGATGGGCCAGCGCAGCTACCCGGGGCTACAGGCCTCACTCACATGAGATTCCCCCCCACCTCCCACCTCCCCTTCTCCTGGGGATGGGTCCTCAGCTGCCCACTTCCCTGCCCAGCCAGTGAGCACAGCCGCTGTTTGCTCCTGGTGGGGGTTGGGCACGGGCACAGGAGAAGCAGGGCCCCTCTGAGTGTCCCTGCAGGAGGGAGTGTGACAGCGAATAGCCAGTATAAGGCACTGTGCCAGGATGGCAGGTCGCAGAAGAAACTGACGTTTTGTTTTGCCCACGTTTCGAACCAGGAGCCCGGGCTTCATGTTGCACGGGGCCCTGAAAATACATGGCCAACCCGGTCCCGGGCCTCCCACCGATCACACGCTAGTCACCATCACACAGGCTCTTCCCAGCGCACACCTACACCTCACAGCCCTGGGCTGCGTGCACGTGTGAGAGGCGTGGCTATGCGGTGCGTAAACGTGGCTGTTGCCCTGTGGTGCTGTCACTGCGTGGTGACCGGTCGGTGGCCAGCCCACTCCCCCGAGCGCTCGGCTCCACTTGCTGCCTCACGCCGCACGCCAGCTGTGCCGTTTCTTCCTGTCGGCTGGTGTCCACTCTGGGTTTGTGTTAGCCCAGCCAGGCACTTTCAACAGCCTTAAGAGGTAGAGCCATTATTAGCCCCATTTTTCAGATGAGGAAACAGGCTTCCGAACAAAAAGGCTTTACTGTTTTCTTCCCCAACCACCAGGGCTGAGCGCGGGTCTTCAGGGTGGGGAGGGATGCTTATTCCCGGTGACCTCACCATCGGTGCCTGAGCGGGGCTGGCCGAGCCCAGAGGTCTCTTAAGGGGCGTCTCTGGTCCACAGGAATGTGTGTGAACAAACCTCCCACCACAGGTGTAAGCTGTCGCCCACCCACAGCACACGGGAAGGAGTGGACGGCAGAAGAGTCAGTGTGCAGAGCCCTGTCCCGCCACGTGTGGTCACACCAGGACCTGCTGTCGCCAGCACTGGGGCCGGCACCCCTGCGGGAACATGACCCTGTGTGGCTGGGTCAGTGGCTCCAAAATTCTCAGCAAGAAATCCGTGTGCTGAACCCCTTAACCTGGCCACTTCCGTGGCTGAGGGTGGAGCACAGGTGGGCCGTGGTGAGGACCCCGCCCTTGCAGAGGCAGAAACGTGTTTTGTGGGAAAAGCCACGGACCGCTCCCAAGAGCTGTCCAGCAGGTTTCCGGTTGTGAAATAGAAGTCACAGTTCCATTCGGTCTCCAACAGGGCAAACAGCACAGCCTCATCAGATGCGAAAGAAAACCGAGAAAAACTCGGAGCACTTGGGAGAAACCCCACTGGGAGGGACTGTAAAGTCCTCTTTGGAGGGGTCCACGGACTCTCTGTCATCCTCAAACTTGGGTCACGCCAGCTCTCTAAGCGTGGCCTGTATTCCCCACACCAGTCTTTCTGAGCTGCTGGCATAAGTACCTCTGAGCAGGCCTCTGGGTAAAGGCTAGTAAATGGATAAGGACTGAAAAGAGATAAGTGGTGCGCTCATGTTGTAAAAATTAGCTTAAATATGACTGTTTCTTTCAAATTGACCCCTGCACCACTCACATTGTTACGTGACTAAAGGCTCCTACATAGACCCACAGCCCATCTGCAGACTAGCGGGTGTGAATAGAGCTAAAAATGATTTTAATTGTAAAAACACTCATCTTGAGTGATGAGGTACACACATACTCTGAATAGGACAATTTCTCAAAGTCCTTATTTTAATAGCAGTTTTATAAACAGCCACCTTGCCTTGAACACTCCCCTCGAATTCCCCTTTCAGGCGAACTGGGTACACACGCCCGTTGGAGAAGTTACATTTCAATTACACTAAGTCCCAAGTTCTCCTTGTGCCTGCGCGGGACCTTGCTATTGCTCATCTCACGCAAGGGAAAGGGCTAACGCGCGCTGGCTAAATGGAGTGGGCGTGAGCTTATTTACTAGTAATTGTCCTGACCCTGTCAGAGGGAGGACATTATAATCTCATTTCTGACGAGATAAAGAAATCGAAGAGATGGAGGGATAGGCGGCTTGGCCCAGGTCCATCCCCGCTGGCAGGGCGCCAGGCGGGCACTCAAGCCCACAGTGACCGGCATCCAGAGACCTTGCTCTAAGTCGCCACACTCTGCACCTCCGCCTGCTGTGCTTGGGACAGTCCATGTCATTTCTGGGTTATGACCTTGGGACAATCCTAGGGAGACACTGGCCCTGCCCTTGTAGGACTGAAGTCAAAGAGAAGTGAGCTTTGCTTTTCATTTATTCCCCCAGGTCTTGCCCCTAGCACCTCGCCCATTAGCACTTTTCCATTAGCACTTTCCCCATTAGCACCTCACATCCACCCTCTGGGGAAGGTGCAAACTTGGATGCCAGTTAAAGGAAACGCCTTCGATTTCTCCCAAGCAGACGACAAGGCCCACTTCATTCCCGGTTTCCTGTTCAGTGAAAGGAGACTCGGCTATCAGAACCGCCTGAATGTCCGTCTAGAGCAAAGGTCCCCTGAAGGCTCCTTTGCACGCGTCCATTTCTAGGGGGAGCTCTGAGCAGCCCCAAACTCAGGGGCAGCTGGGTGACTCCAGGGCACCTTCCCTCCTCCCTGGGGAGACCCGGGAATGGGGCAACTTACGAAGCAGATACTCAGCCGTGTCCTGTTCATAGTCAGCATCGTCTGGGAAGTGGTCGATTTTCTTGCAGACCCCTCGGAACGCCCCTGTGGGAACAAACGTGGTCCTGAGCGAGGGGGAGGGCTGGGTGTGGTGGCGGCGGGGGGCGGGGGAGGGGGGTGGAGAGCAGAGTCTCTGCCTGGTCCCAGCCCCGCTCCTCAGCCCCACGGTGAAGACCCGCCTGGGTTGTTGGGGTTGTGGCCGGATGCGTGGAGGCTGGCCCAGCAGCATCTTTCTTAGGGCACAAAAAGGAGCCAGTAGAGGAAAACAAGAAGAAAAAGACAGGGGCACCTGTTTTCTAGGTGCTGCACGGTCTTGGGATCCATTTAGAAGAGCGGAGAACTCTGAAGCACAGGCACTCATGTTGAGAACTGTCCTCTTTCCTTTCTCCCAACCAGCGCGGGAACCGGGAGAAGGGAGCGGAGCGTCACGTAGAACTTCCCTGCCCGCCCCGCAGGCGCCGAAGACGGGCATAGGCATTTGCTTGTGCCTACCCGGTGAAGGCAGCACTGGAACTCCCGTCCAGATGTGCTGGCTCCTGGGGGCAGGTCCCAGGCCCCCCAGGAGGAGCCACCCCCCTAACAATGGGCACGGCTGGCACAGGACCGTCCCCCCTCCCCTGACAGACTCTAAGGCTCACCCTTCTGGCAGCTGCATGGCTGCATCTTGGGGAAAGTGACTGTCAGTATTTCCCTTCCTTTTCTTTCCTCAGCATCAGCTTGACTTAACTCATTGTGGGTGTTTGATAGTCGGTGTGGGTGTTTGTTAACTACCCAATTAACCGGTCTCTGGGGGCAGCTAATGGCTCCGCCAGTTCTTATACATGACAAACAACTTCAGAACTTCTCACCACAAGCAGCACGGATTGCGCGTTATTAGCGTTCCGGTCCCTGTCACAGAGGTCTAGTGGAAGCGCGGGGCAGGTGTCCTGGACAGCGGGCAAGGTTTACAGTCACACAGAGCCTGGCTTTTGCTGTGAGAATTACGTGAGGTGACATGTGAAGATGAGCTCATGGTCTGCAAAGCTCTGGGCATGTCAGAATAATGGTCAATACTTAACGGGCTTCCAATGGGCCAGGCACAGAGCGGAAGCCCGGCTTTCCTTCTCCACTCAGTTGGGCAGCCCCAGGCGACGGGCTATTCACAGGGGCATTTGATGGTGAGGCCAGAGGACCACAGAGGGGCTCAGGCATCACCACTGGCGGTGGGGAACCTAAGCCCACAGTTTTCCATGACACTATGGATGTAGCTGCTGTTATGATGCGTATTATTATCTTACTAGAGGCCCAGTGCACAAAATTCATACACTCGGTTGGGGGGGTCCCTCAGCCCGGCCTGCACCCTCTCATAGTCCAGGAGCCCTGGGGAGGATGTCCAACTGACATCCTTAGTGCTGCTGCGGAGGCGGGAGAGGCTCCCTCTACCGTTGCTGCGCTCGCCAGCTGTGAGCCTGGCTTCTGGCTGAGCGGCGCTCCCCCTGTGGGAGCCCACTGACCACCAGGGGGCAGCTTCTGCATTGAGAGTCTGCCCCCTGGTAGTCAGTGCATGTCATAGCAACTGGTTGAGCAGCCTTAGTATATCATTAGCATATTACACTTTGATTGGTTGAACATATGACTGGATACTTGGCATATTAGGCTTTTATTATATAGGATACTATAAAGAGGCTTCGAGCCAGAGGCATCTCAGAATAAATGCGTTGCGCTATGAGGCCATCCTCTTGGGCTCCGAATCAGGAAGGGGTGTCCTGGCGAAGAGACCTAAGGACTCAAGGAAATTCTTGGGAGAAAGACAAATTCATAGCTTCTTTCCTGATATTGAAAAAAGGACTTCATTGTTTTTTCTTTAGACATTCGAGGGTCATTCACATGTCCCTGGTTGTTTTAAGCCCCCTGCCCTTCCAACTGGCTGGGTGTAAGTCGGAATAAGTCACCCGTTGAGCACACACCAAATAGCACATACCATTCTGAGCACTTTACCTGTTTTATCTTCTGTTTTATTTTTTTAATCTTCACCCGAGGATATTTTTCCATTGATTTGCAGAGAGTGGAAGGGAGGGAGGAAGAGGAGATAGAGGTGGAGAGAGAGAGAGAGAGATACGAGAGAGACACACTGGTTGATTGTCTCCTGCATGCGCCCTGACCCAGGCTGGGTACGCACACCCTTGACCGGGAATCCAACCTGTGACCCTAAGGACCAACACTCTAACCCAGTGATGGCGAACCTTTTGAGCTCAGCATGTCAGCATTTTGAAAAACCCTAACGTAACTCTGGTGCCGTGTCACATATAGAAATTTTTTGATATTTGCAACCATAGTAAAACAAAGACTTATATTTTTGATATTTATTTTATATATTTAAATGCCATTTAACGAAGAAAAATCAACCAAAAAAATGAGTTCACGTGTCACCTCTGACACGCGTGTCAAAGGTTCGCCATCACTGCTCTAACCACTGAGCCAAACCGGCCAGGGCTGTTTTGTCTTCTTTAGCTCTCAAAATACTAGTAGCTATTTGAGGCACCTGGTCGTCTAATCCTATTTTCCAGAGGAGGAAACGGAGGCTTAGTGAAGTGAGTGCCTTCCCCACGGACACAGCTCCCAGTGGCCACTCCAGGGCAAGTCTGCCTGGCTCCACGTTCGTGCCCAGCACTGTGACTGCTTCTCTTCCGCAGCATAGAGCCGGAAGCGCAGACCTCTGCTAGGAGGCTTTGTGATAGTTTTGTGGTCCATCCGCTTGTATCAAACTGGACCAGCAGTTCTCCATCAACCATGCTTTTCCCATGATATACGTGGGGGCCACAGAGCAGGGTGATAGCAGTGGTTGTGTGACCACCTATTGTCAGCTGTCTTACATCCTCCAACAAAGATTTCCTGGGAAGAAGAGTTCAGATGATGATGAAATGCAAACCCTACTAAGACAGACCAGCCAGAACCACGTGGTGATAAGGACCTGCGCGCATGCCTGTGCCTGAGTGTGACCTGGGCCTCCCCGAGGCAGCCTAAAGCGGCTTGAAGCGAGCGAGGACTTAGAGCAGCACACCCTGCAGCTTCCAGAGAAACAGCGTCTGTTTTTTTTCATAGTCCATGAGCTAAGAATGGTTTTGCATATTCAGGTGGTTGGGAAAAAAGTCAAAAGAATAGTATTTTTTTCATGACATGTAAAAAACATGTGTGCAATTCAAATTTCAGTGTTTGTAAATAAAATTGTACAGAAAAGCATTCCCTGGTTTACAGCGTTCACGCTGCAATGGCAGAGACGGTGAGGCCGCAAACAGTCATTGTCTGTCTAGGAAAGCCTTGCTGATCCCTCACAGCCCTGGCACAAACTCTGGAGTCTGGCCTTCCTGGGACAGAGGACACGGCGCAGGGGGCACTCCCAGAGCAGAGGTCAGGTGCCACGGCTTGCAGAATGGCGTGCGGTCTGGATTCTCATTTTGCTTCGTGTGCAGTATTTCGGTGCATCATTTGTAAAAATTAAATATGCTTCTGCAGTTTGAAATTTAGGATTTGTCACATGAAAGCTTGATGTGCAGATTCTCTTTGAGGAGGGGGCGCTCTGGCCCACCTTCCCCTGGGGCAAGGACCCCTGCAGGGCCCCCACCCCCACCCTGAGAGCAGCCCCCAGGCCTTCGTCACCAAGGCCCCTGCGCAGATGACCACCCGAATTCAGCCTCTTCTGCACAGTGACGACAGTCACAGCTCACGGCGCCGTCAGAAGGGACTGAGGCCGGGGTAGAGGCACAGCGCCAGCCCTGTGCTCAGCGCCTTCCTCCTGACTCTTAATCAGGCACCAGCGTAAGCACTTAGTGCAGTTCCTGGCACGTGGTTAGGAACTCGGTGAATTAGAGCTATGACTACCGGGGATCTCGGTAGGTATTTTAGGACCAGAAGAGACACGCTGGTGTCGTGGCGGGTTTTAAAAAGCAACATAAAGGAAAGAGAAGCAGGAGTTTCCCCGAGGGTGACTCCACGCTGAATGAAGCCGCTGGCACCTCGTCATACGCGCCCCGACAGGGGGCTGGGCCATGCGTGTACTAGTAAGCGGCATATTGCCGGCTCCCAGAATACCCACTGTTAGCGCGTCTGTGCGCGCCCTCTCGGGCTCTCTCCCCGAGCTCGCACACACACGTGGTTTTATAAAATTGGGCTCATGCTGCTCTTCTCAACTCCATATTCTCAGGAGTATTTCCCCATCAGTAGATCAAAGGGAAATAGGATGGGGTGGACCTGCTCCTGAACAGCAGAGGGTGGGACCAAGAGCGACGCCCGCCACAGGCACCTGCGGGGACGCAGTCAGAGGCAGAGACAACCCTGACCTTGCACAGTTGCAGCTAAGGCCCCAGGGCTGAGAGTGTGGGAGCCGGGAAAAGGAGCCGTGCAGGTTGGTCTGGGGGAGAGACCCAGTGGTCACAGGTGAGAGGCGATGGGAACCCGGGTGGGGCAGGCTGAGAGCGAGGCTGTGAGGATCCAGGTCCGGTAAGAGGTTTGGGATGGAGAGAGTTGGCAGAGGCTGCCTGAGACTGGCTTGGGGGTGGGGTGGGGTCTCATCCTGTGTAGAGGCGATTGTGCTGATGGTTCGTCTATGACTTGGACAAGGGAAGCACCTTTCCTTTATGTGAGGAAGGGCACACCTTCTTAAAGGGGAACCTCAGAAATATTCCATTAGAACCAAGAACTAGAGGCGGATGCCCACCCCCACCACCTCTATTAGACCACGATTCTGCCAGTGCCCAGGCAAGAAGCAGTAAGACAGAGCACAGAGTTAAAGCAAAAGAGAAAAGAGGCTGAAATGACGGTTTTCCAGGTGATAGAGTGGCTACTGAGGAAGCTGAAGGCTGTCTGCTAGAAAAAACTTCAGAGTGAATGCATGAGCTCAGGAAGGTGACTTCTTATGATACTAAGCCACACAATGAGGCTGCAATCATGAAGTCACTGTGGTCCTGGCATTAAAAAATAACATTTATTAGGATATTTTTTCAATGCAGAGAAATATTACAAAGAAAATAGGAAGCAGCCCATTATTCCATATTCAGATAATCCATGTA